TTATCGTTTGTTGGTATTTCAGGCAGTAGCTGTTTTGGCATCCTTCAAAATCTCTTCAGAAACGTCCTAGTTTACGTTCTTGTGTTTCTAATTAACCTGCCGTTAATAATTAGCCCGTGCACATAGACTTTGAAGGTAAAGACTGTGTTTATATCAGTTAGGCAGAGATATGACCTGACTTGATACAAATGATTTGACTTGTAATCACTCAAGGAGAAAACACTTGTATTAAAAATTCATGTAGTTTATTGTTGAACAGCAACATTCACTTTATCGTTTATGACATTTTGCAAGAATTACAACTTAGTCTCATACGCTTGAACTTAAAATGTGTATCCAGTTTCCCATAAAGCGTTTGATGCTTTATATATGGGTTTGCATTGTAAATAAACACAGCGATACATAAATAATAACTGCACATCTCATGTCATTATAAACGTTCAGTGCATAAATATGTGTACGACACTGCATAAAAATAAAACATGACTCCGTGTGAAAAATTCAACAAATCCTTTGCTTGATCGTCACAACAAATCTTGCTGCAACATTGCACGGATCTATCAACACAATACATATATTTCCTCCTGAAGAAATGTGGGAGAACTCAGCAGGCTGTCCTTGACAGTCGATAACATTCAGGGCATCTGAGAGCCTGATATTTGAGCCGTGTGTTCTCACAACGAGCTCACTGAAATCTGACGGGTTTGTTCTGGGAATCAAAGTGACCGAAGCCAGCTCTGTTCAGTGTGTGAAGCTTCACTCCAGCGGTCATGTAGCTTACACTAAACATCTGGAACATCTGAACATGCAGGTTCATGCACGCCATAGGTGGTGTACAGTACGTGAAAGAATCGACGCTGGTTTGAAATGAGTTGTTTGGTTCTACGCCACAAAGCTGCAGCCTTGCTCTCAGAACATCATCCTGATGTTCTTCATGAAGGACTTACAGAAGCAGCTTCCTGACTTCTGTCGGAGTGGCCTGATGTTGGTACTTTGACAGAAACTGCTGACTCCTTTGACAGCTAGCTCTGAAATAGAGCGTATGCTTTATGACTCAGTTCTGCTATCTATAACTCGGTGCTCCGCTCAGAACAACGCATCATGCGCCAAATCATGGGGGTCTGACATTTACACTTTGATCCCACACTATTGGCAACTCGTGCTGATATTAACAGACTAAATTTACCTGACATTGGACAAGGTGAATGAAACCTGATGAGAGCTTCAGTTGTATGTGTGTGTTGATGTTTAGGATGAAAAATGTACACCCTAATTAAAAGATCTAGTGTTGAGTTTGAGTGCCAACAACTGGATCATGGCACATTCATAATGCTGAAATGAGACCTAATACTTCAGTAGGCATGCATGAACACTGATCAAACCCTTACAACACCTTTCATGAGGCTCTCCTTAAACACTTTTTTCATTTTGTGTCGTAAGAGAAAAACACCGTGTGAGCACCCCCTGCACTACGACGTGGTCCGTCACCTTAGCAACCAAAAAGGATGTTAGAAACAAGAGCTCAGCCGGGTTCTGATGCAGAGCCGTTTGTGTTCATGGATGTCGCAGTGCGGTATGGAATGCCTCGCTCTAGTCCGACTGGGATAGTCTCAACGCCGTGACGAGAGCAGACATCAGGAGAGTCGAACTGACCAGGACCACAGAACCTCCAGAGTAGAACACCTGACGGCCATTGAGAGGCTGGACAGGCCTGAAGTTCTTCACCATCAGCTTGCCATCATGATACTGGACCTTAGAGAAAGCTTTCAACTGGAAGAGCAGAGGATTGACACAAAGGTTAGGCTCCAGGTTTTACTGCTGTGTCTTTAACTTCACTTATATTAATCTGAACACTTTCCCCACAACTACATTGGCTGTTTGTTAGCTGTGCTTGTGTCCCCTTCAGCTGGTTTCTAATTCTGACCTGATCCAAGTTCAGAGGGATGGGTTTTTCAAACACAGTCCAAACCACAGACTCTGTACACCCTGGAGTGGTCAGAGAACCCTTGTAGCGGTAGTAAGAGGTCATATTCTGCTCTGATGGGATCAGCTGTGCCAGAGAGATGGAGGGCAGAGAGGTGTTGCCATCTGAAAACACAGACATTGTTATTAAGACCCAGCATCCCTGGAAAAAATGCACATCACCAGCTGCCATTTATACCAAAGATCATCTTTTGTAGAGAATGGAATTAAAGCTGTTTAGGTCAAATCTTATAAATAACCGTGTGTGATATCAAACAGTATCCAAAGTGACATGACTGTCGACGAGGAAGGGGGCCGGCACCGGAGGAGGGGGGCGTGGCACCGGAGGAGGGGGCGTGCCAAAGACACCATCTTAGCACCAACATAACTGGTTTGTTTTGCTTTGGAGTAAGCTGTTTGGAGGAAGAATCAGTTTTGTGTTGTGTGTTTGCTTGACTGATGAAGCCTTCTGGATAGAAGGTGAAATGTTTCAGAAAAAAAAAAAAAAAAAGAAACTGTCCAGATGACCTGACTGAAAATTGTTGGATATCCAAAGTGTAGCTTGTGTTTGCTAAAATTACTTAGCTGTAATGACATCACAGCTACGCACAGGGCAGGTATCACTGTAAGAGTCGTGTTCTTTGACTTCTCCAGTGCTTTTAGCATGCTGCAGATGTTTTACCACTCGGTGGTCTCCAGCATCTTCTGCACTGTGGTGTGCTGGGGCAGCAGGTTGAGGAAAGTTGATGCCAACAGACTTGATAAACTCATCAAGAGAGCTGGTTCAGTTCTGGGAGTGGAGCTGCAGTCTCTGACAGAGGTGTCTGAGCAGAGGATGCTGAGGAACCTGCTCCAGATCCTGAACAACACGTCTCACTCCCTCCATGACACCCTGGACTCTTACTGCAGCACCTTCAGTTGTAGATTGAGACCATCGAGGTGCTCCAAAGTACAACACAGGAAGTCCTTCAAACTTCAACTCCTCCCCCTTTTCTACACAGAGGACAATAAAATTAATCCTGAACTACAATAAACACTTTAATGTTTCTGTCTGCATGTGACCTGTTTTAGAACTTCCATCCATTCATCCATTATCTTTTACCCGCTTATTCCATTTTGGGTCACGGGGGTCGCTGGTGCCCATGTCCGGCAATCACTGTGCGAGGGGCGGGGGACACCCTGGACATGTCTCCAGTCCATCACAGAGACAAACAACCATTCACTCTCTCCTAGAGACAATTTAGAGTTACCAATCAGCCTAACATGCATGTTTTTGGTTTGTGGGAGGAAACCGGAGCACCCGGAGAAAACCCACGCATGCACGGAGAGAACATGCAAACTCCACCCAGAAGGGCCCGGACCAGGATTTGAACCGAGCACCTGCTCGCTGAGAGGCAGCAGCTCTACCAGTTGCGCCACCATGCAGCCTGTTTTAGAACTTTGTTGGTATTTTTATAATCTCTGTTATTTTTATATTCTTTGTTATTTTTTATATCTTGTGTGATTCCTTGTGCTTGTTGCTTTGTAATGAAACTCTGGCACAACAATTTCCTGCAGGATCAATAAGATTCTATTTTATCTTATTTTATCTTGAACTGGGTTGCCTCCATGAGTAAAATGGTGGTAGGTTCAAATTAAACAAATACTTTCTGAGAGTTTGATTAAAATTGTCCCGAGGCTCATTAGATATTTTGCTAGTAGCAGGTACACAGAGTTGAGTCAACGCAGAAGATACGGACAAAGTTTGAAAACAATGTGTAGCTCTTAAAGTATGTGTTTGAGATGAATCTCTACCAAACAAATTATTTACTGAATATCTGAAAAATTATCTGAATTATAGGGATTTTTTGTGTTTTAAGGTCAGTTGTCAGTGGCGCCATGTTGAACTGAGTGACCCCAAAGGTTAATCAGCTTTAAATGTACATTTAGTGATTATTTTCTGAGAGTCTCATTAAAATTTATCAGGTGGTTCATGAACTATTTTGCTAACAGACAGTCAGGTTGACGCCAACGGTTAACGGCAAAGTTTTAAACACCATCTCATGTAATCAGGTTGCATTCAAAGCACGTGCTGAGTATGATTCTCAGCTACTACTACATCAAACCTCAGCTCAGTATCTGTAAAACTGACTGAGTTATGACCATTCATGTGTCTGCTTTGCAATGTTGACATCCATCTTGATTCGGGGTAATTAAAAGTTTATCAGTTATAGATTGATTACTTTCTGAGAGTTTCATGAAAATCCATCACATGTTGGTAACAGACAGACACACGAGCGCACACAACATGGGCAAAAGTATTAACCTCAGTTTCCACATTTTGGCGACAGGTTACAGTTGCAGGACAGTTACCGTTAAACTTAACTAACCGTTAAACTTAACTAAAGCTGCGAAGCTTTATAGTTAAAGTTATGCAGTCCGGGTCAGGTGGCTGTTGCAGAACCTTGGTACTCACTTGTAGCTTTAATGCTTTGCAGTGTGTTGATGATGGGATCATACTTTTTGTTTGCGCTGTTGGACTTCTAATAGAAAGAAACGTGAGACTTGCGTCACGTCACGCGTACATCATTGGAATTCTCAAACTTTGTTGCACAGGAAGAAAGGACTACCTCGTAGAAAAACCCGAGGACAGCGACTCCCTCCTTGTCTCTCAGTGCTGTTGACAGATCTGTGTAGTGGCTCTTCATGTGGACAATGTGCAGCTGAAAGAAAATGTCACACAGTCACAAATTACAGGTCGTACGATGGGCCTTAAGACATATAGAAGACAAATAATAAGTTGGTAATTCATCAGCTTAAGAGAATATTTAACAATTAAAAAGCCAGCATTCCTTGAAGAAATGCACATCTTCGGCTACAGTTTTACAAAAATAAAAAATCATCTCATAAGATGGAACAGAGTTGTGGCAGTTTTGACTGAACCTGGAAAGGCCCGGTGTCCTCAGGCTCTTTTGTGAGTAGCAAGTTGGACATCAGGCCTAAAACATTTGATTGTTGTACACGATGATTGATTGTTTTGGACAGAGCGTTCCTTTTTGCACGTGTAAAGCAGTTTCTGAGACGTCCACAGAGGGCTGGCTTCAAGGAGGTGCTATTTATAAGACAGATCTGGGTTGGCAGGCCTCAGACTCATGAAGTCTTTCGGGTGAAAGATGAAGCGTTTCTCCCAAAAAGAAACTGTCCAGACGACCTGATTTCACCTGTTTTTGTGCTGTGAGATGTTTTTCTCAGAGTACTTGTTGTGACTGATTCTCGGCTACAACCAAGTTGAATTTTAGCTCTGTCTGTAAAATGAACGGCTGCAGCCATGTTTTGTGCTGGCTAATGTTGATGGGCTGCCATCTTGAATTTTAGTTATTTATTCATTTATTTATTTTTAAAAACTAAACAAATTAAAATACATTGAATGAAAAGGGTGCAGAAAACAGAAAATTCTTATAATATCTGCCCCTTATTTGAAAAAATATAAAATAAACAAACAACTCAGGTTTGAACCATCCCCAAAACCATCAACCATTCTTCATACTTTCTTAACAATTTCAACTTAATCATCTTTTTAAACATGTAAATTGTTTTATAAATTTTTATTCTGTCTCCTTTGTCTCCTAAAGGTCATTAGTTGTAGTTTTACGTTCAATAATTATTTTTTACTGTGCTTTTTAATGCAGTATTTTATGGAATATTTTGCTAATAGTTTGAGTTGACTTCCAATAATTGATGTCTAAAGGTTTCAACTATTTCCCTCAATCTGTTAGTGCACAAGCGATACAAGCTAACTACTGCAGCGCCTAATTTTAGATCAATATCTGTAAAAGTGACCGAGGTAAAACTATTTTAGTGTTTTTAAAGGCAGCTGGATGTGGCAGTTATCTTGAATTGGGTTAACAACACCAAACAAAATCAGTTGTGCATGTACATCCAACGATTACTTTCTGCAAGTTTAATTCAAATTTTATCCACTGGCTCATAAAATATTTTGCTAATAAACACACACAGGCCAAATCATTATCGCCTGGACTGGTTACCTCCATGGGATACTGCTCCCCATCAATGGTGTGTTCAGAACCGGGCCCTCCGTTGTCGCCCCAGTGCAGGTGGAACTGCACAGCCTTATACGTGGCGGGCAGGCCTCCACCTGAGACGGTGCTGGTATGAGGAACTCCAACCTGAACTGTAGTGGACAAACAGAGCACAGTGTGTGTACAAGACTGGTTCCAAGCTTCTGAAGGAGTAGGTAGCTCACCTGAGTGGCCATTGTTTCTGATGGAGCCTCTAAAAATCTGCTGGTAATTCTCAAAGCGTAGAGGGGTCAGGCGCTCGTCTTTCAAGACCTTTCTGGTGACGATATTAACGGGAGACTGGTGTTTTCCTGCGCAGTCCTGGTTGGCATGGTTCCACTTCTCTGGTGCTAAAACAAATATAATTACCAGCACTAAATTAGTTGAACTATCAGCTCTGGGCTGACTCAGATTTTAATGAACTTCCCACAACATCTGACAGTATCCAAACCATTAACATAAGCAAAGATTAATAACGTAACTCTATTAACAGCCACACAGTTATGGCACCAAAACATTGTTCATTGTTTGGGAGTTGTCTTGTTGTATTTATGGAGTCAGCGTCGGCACACTAGGGATGTGGACCATATCATCAATAATAAATGCCCACCTACAAACCCCTGAACTCACTAACAGGCTGTGACTTTATCCAGCCACAGTGTAACATGGAACTCGAATCAGAATAAGCTTTATTATCATTGTAACAAAATACAGTGAGATTATGTTCGTACAGTCATCCGAAAGATGGACAGAGTGCACATTGCTGCTGCTCCTAAGAGAAGGGCCACTTATCGTTTTAGTTAGAAAAGGGGAAAAGACCATGAGAAGAGGATAGTGGTATTACAAAAAAGATCTCTTCCCATCTTGTCCTTATGAGGACATGATTTAAGACGTCAAAAAACTCTACCAGCAGCACATTTATAGACACATTACATCTGCATTTGACATCAAGACGGTGAGATTTCGATAGATATATCTTTTTCTTAGTTTACACATATCCCAGGAGAAATGTGATAAGTCGGACTGCTTCAAGGCCAAACGGGAGAGTCAGATTCAGACGAGCCACAGTTGTCAATTTTTTCTGGCAGACTGTTATTTCTCGTCAGCCTTGAGTTCTGCTGGTACTTTCGATCCAAAACGGCCAGATTTGTGGGCATTCCACTGGTACGTGCTTATTAGTTCCCTCCATGGTCGATCCCACCATGCTGGCAAGTCTCAAAAGCCGCAGGTGGCCTGCAATTCTCACAAATTGCTTCCATCTTACGGTTTAGCTTGTAAATCAGCTGATTTCACGCAAATCGAACCTTCACATAGGCTCGGCAGCTTTGCCATGGCTGAAACTTCTGCCGCCGTCTTCTTCAATAGCCAGTAACATAGGAATCCCCTGATGCCCAAAAAGCAGAAACCCTGCTATCATGGTTCCAATTATATAAACATCTTCGACGTCCTCCTGGGACAATATGGAAAGATGCATCAGCTCCCAGACTCCCCACGGATCCATGACGTATCCTGCTGCGTGCATCTCAGCGGGGCATGAGGGTTCTCCAGGACCCTGTCACTTTGTTGAAATTTTTTTATCGATTGCGTTGAAAGTCCAGCTGACCAGATCCATGACAGTAATTTTAAGTTTCGGAAGATGTATAAATAGGAGCCCCGATACACAAGACAGAGAGCAAAAAGCAGGAGGAGGACAGGAGAGGGAAAGTCGCCCATCTTGCATCAAATAACTAAATTACAGTATACTAAATTTATTTTTAATGCACATTTCAACATCTAGCAGCAAAGAAAGAGTAATCAAAGTGTAAATGAACCTAAATCAACACCTGCAAAAAATATTTTTATGTATTTTTTATGAAGTATTTCTGTTTTTGGTCAGGAAAATGAACCAATGTAGAGGTGGGGCTTAAGAATTGTACTGCGGCCAGCCTCTAAAGAGCACTGATCCTTTGTGACTTCAGCTTTTAGTTTCTGGTCCTGTGTCTAGTTGTAATACCTGCTGATGGTCTAGACATGAATTGAATTTTTAGACTAATTCTGTCTGTCTCAGAAACATAAGGTTCATGTATGGAGTACCACAGGGGTTACTCAGAGGTCCTTTACTTTTATGTGTAAAATCACATTCAGGTCAAACCTGTAAAAAGTGTTAAAGTGGTTAAATTTTTTGTCTTGAAATTAACTCTTATGCTTGCCTTTCACTTTCACCACTATAATACAACTGGTCAAACAGCAGGACTGAAAGCTGAGAACTTGTAATACATTTTTATTATTAATTTCCAAGTATCGGTTAAAAACTACAGCAGTTTGACCTCTAATAACCTCACAGGGGATATTATTATTATTTCTCTAGATTTTGGATTATTCTTTAAAAGTGGTGCACTAGGATGTGATCTTTATCTCAAACATGCTGAATAAAGTATGATTTTTTTTTTTAAAAAGCATATTGTCTACCACTTGCAGTCCAAAGTAAAGAAAGACATCATATATTGAGGTAATTGAGCTCAAGGTGTGTGTTTAAGAACTACTCTCAGTTAATAGATCATTTGTGCTGTGATGTCCATCACATTTTATCTCAATATATTTAAAATAGACAAAATTATACATTTTGCTTTGATTACAACAACTAATTAACAATTGTACATTCAATAAATAATTTCTTAAAGATTCTTTAAATTTGTCCAGTGATACAAGAGATATTTTACTGACAGACAGGCACAGAAACACAGACGTTTACATTATCACCTGTGATCAAAAGCTTACCATTGCACTGATGTTCGCAGGTGAACTGGGTTTGATAGCACCAGTCTGAAACAAAAACAATGATTCATTAAAGGCTTTTACAGTAAAATCATTTAAATTAATTCTCCACTCCAACATCAAAAAAAGTGGGACATTGTATAAAATGACCGTTAAAACAGGCTGCAATGGCTCACAAATAATAAGGAAAACATATTTTATTTACAGCACAGAAGCAAAGAAAGTATATCAAATGTTTAGTCTAAAAAATTAAACAATATTTTGAAAGAAAAAAAAGGTAATTTTGAATTTGATGGCACATCTCTAAAAAGTTGTTCAGGGTCATGTTTATCGCGATAAACATCTCTTCATTTACCAACAGTCTGTAAACATGCAGGACATGAGGAGGCCAGCTGATGGATTGTTTGGAGGAGAACATGGTCCCATTTTGTCTGATGTAGGATTCTAGTTGTTCGACGGTCCTGGATCTTCTTAGACAGATTGATTGTTTTATGTTGTGTCATGTGTTTTCCTTTGGTGAGAGGTCTGGACTGCAGACTGTCCAGCACCAAGACTCTTCTGCTGTGATGTCATACTGCTGTGATGTCATGCTG